TTATTATTAATGGCATTTTCATTAATTAACTCATATCTCCGTCAAAAAGGCGCATGGGCCCAAACCAACTTGGAGTTTTTCACTACTGACTATTCCCTACATGATGAAAATAGTCTGAGTCGAAAAGTTTTTAATCACCTCGAGAGGTTCCATCGTTAGTGTATAGACAAAAACCATTATAACACAAATTCTGGTGAAAGACACGGAATGCAAATCAATATCAGACAGTATCTCTTGTCCTTTAAAAAATATCTTCGATCAATCTTGTTTTGTGCTAGTTAATATTGAATGAGAATCGATTGCTTATATTTTTTTAGTCAAATTTCCAGTTTGAAATCAGACACATAAAATAAAACTATACATAACACTCACTCCCTACATGTTTCGTTACAAAGATGTGAGCGTTTGAACGCCCAAAAACTCGAAAGTTTCACTTTCTAAGGTTTTATGTCAACACAATATGATGTGATCTGTATCATCTATTTTATGACGCTTTACTAAACAGATAATAAGCTTTATAACTCCTTCAATTTCTAATTGAAAATAATTTTAGTTAAGGGCTCCGCCACTCAGAAACCTATTTTTGTCCAGAAACATTCAACCTTGATGTAAATTTCAGACGTGTACCTCGAGGTAATTTAGTCATTCTACTAATTGCAGCCTCTTATTACTTGTTTTCCTAGAGTTATTCTTAAATTAGTGGTGAAAAAGTATGGTTTCGTACTTCCAAGATTCCGCCGCCATTTTTTGAGCTAGAAATTTCGGATGGGTTTCGAAATAGAGAAATGTTTTTTCTGTGTCGTGACGCCACTGGATTTTTCGATTTAAGTGTAGTAAAACTAAATAAAATCTCTCTAACTTGTCGAAAACTTTTTAAATTCCTCCTAAACTACACTTAAATTGAAAAATCCAATGGCATCACGACACAGAAAAAACATTTCCCTATTTTTGAAACCAATCCGAAATTTCTAGCTCGAAAAATGACGGAGATACCTTGGAAGTACGAAACGCTACAGTCGTAAAAAGAGATTTTGAAAAAAACGTGAAACAAGTTTACGAAATGAAAAACGAAGAAGGAAAGACATATAATAATAGTTCACCATAGATTTTGCGTATGCTAAGCCCAATGAGTGTATGCAGAGACATGTGCGACATGTATTTTTGCATATGCAGTGATATTTCAATAAAAATATTTCATAAAAATAACTCGAAATGTTGTCCTTTCATTTCTGGAAGACCCAAACAAAGTTTTCTATTTAAAAAACCTACGATTCCACTGTATTGTGAAATGATTAGTACTTCCCTAGTCGAGGCTCCCATGGGACTCCTGTCACAAGATCCTACTGGAATCAGATGGGACTTTCAAGGAATTCCGTTGGGCTTTGAGGACTTTCGAGTCCGGAGGGTGTCTCTTGAAAGTGCCATCTGGCTCCCACAGGATCCCGTGACAGGAGTCTCGTGGAAGTTTTGTCGAGAGTCTTGACTAGGGTTCTGAGATGCCGTTTTCAGATTCAAAAAGTAATCTAAGATATAAATGATTGCTATAATTTCTTTACAGAACTAAGACGAAAATTGAACAGATGACAATAGTTGATTATCTATCAGAGTTTTATAAAAAGTTGATTGAACATACCTTTCAATATTTCCCACGAGTTTAACTAATCTTAAAACTCGAATAACGAGTATAGCATCTAGTAGATCGGTATTTAATTCAACTAAAAAACAGCACAATAAACACATAACAGTTGTTTTCTCTTTCTATCTCATACATACGTCCATGGATTGCTGATGTAAATATTGAATATGTTATTGACACAGTAACAATTAAAAAATCAAATATATTCCATTTTTGTTGAAAATAATTTTTTGAACCCATGGCATACATTTTTAACAAGACTTCAACGCCAAATGCCGATAGAAAAAACCATTCTAGTTTATTATAACTAACAGCCAAACAAACGGCATTACCAACAATTAATAAATTAATTATCATACGAAAAAGCCTAAAAAGAATATAGATCAAAAATAAATCTTTATTTAATAGAATTAGAATGTTATCCTACATTGTATTGACACACATAATAAGAATTTGACTCGGTTTAGAATTATAAAAATTTGGAAATGTTTGTTGAAGCCAAGGCTCGGTTGATTTACGTTGCTGAATGGAAAAATTTAAGTTAAAGATTAGTTCATTCAACTGATCAATATCTAAAATAAATGATAAAAACGAGAACTTAAATGGTAATATCAGTATTTTATACTTACTTATGTTATTGTCTTGTTTATCACCGAGAGTTTTCCAATAAACTTGTACGATTTCATCTGTAATATTTGCTTTTATAGATTCCATTAACTGTTGATAAGTTGTATACTCAATTGAATCTTTTGTCTTTAATTTATCAAATACAGTATGAAGTGAAATTAATTGGCGTTTTTTATTCAGTTGTTCATCTTCCTAAATACCAAATGAATAATATAACATGTAATGCAAAAGTCTATGCAAAAATATGAAGCATTGTTTCTGCGTGTTCCTGATAAGTTGGCGATTTAATTTATTTTTCCGTTGGAAAGAGCAAAGTTTGAACGTCAAAGAACATAGAAAATATAATTGAGAACATATAATTTGTAATTGAGTTTAAGTGAGAAAAAATGTAAAAATGTGAAGCGTCGCCGAAAAAGCTCTTGTAACGACTCTTTTTTTCTTTAGTTTTTGGCTGCAAATCTGAGGAGAAAACTTTTTTGAAAACGAAATAGAAGAGAATGCCGCCTGCTCAAAACTGTACCGATCCATCTACTGTCCAAAATTTCTTATAAACCCCTTAATAGTAAAAGAAGCTTTCAGCATTGCTTCTACGAAGCAAAAATGTAAAAACTTCCTATTGAACTGTTGGACTATAACATAGAACATCTAATAAAATATCGTAATCATTTTTAAAACTTGTGTCCAACAACATCAGATCAATAATGCACTGTCTGTTACTAGTCCATTCAGGAACTGTAAATACCAAATTTATATTGAAATTGGCCAATCGCAATTTCACTCCGAAAGTTTACAGCTACTTACAAAAAACTCTCTGCAAACCACAAAAATCCTCGTATATAACTTTATACCTCAAACTTCCTTTTCCTTCGGAAAACGGATAAGACTTAGGAAAGTTTTCACAAAATACTTATGATAAAACTCTACTTTTAACGAGAAAGGCACCACATTGAGAAAATGTGTTATTCAGGGCTCAAGATATGTCAGTGAAAATTAAAACTACTGTGAGTTTATAGAGAACTAGCGGAGGTACCCGATGTAGAGTGAGTTGCCTTGAACTTTTCCATCTTTAACAGGACCTTCCCCGCCGTGCATAAATTGAGATGCTTAGCCACACCGACTATATGATGTGAGAATTTAGTTTATAGCGTGTAAATCTGCTTTGGTTCTTTCTACCTATCACTATTTCTATCACACACCTCTGCATTAATTGTAAAAAAGTAGCAGTAGTAGGCTTAC